TTGAGGAGATCCATTCCACTTTTAGTGTGGAATTTGGCTCCTGCACATGAATAGTTCTTCAAATGTCCCGTAAATTGTAGATCTGTGTTTCATTCGAGATCTAAAATGTCCTATCATCTGTTTCTTTGTCAGTGAGCCCGAGTGAGACTTTGAAAAACGCAGATTTAAGTATCATTTTATAGCCAAGCATTTCCATCTAGCTCTTTCCAAAAGCTGGTGGTAAGAGAAAGAAACTAAAAGGAATTCTGTACTTCCTGTGTCTTTTATTCTTCAATCTTCATCATTCTGTTAAATGATCGCTCACAGATGTGTAAAAATCTTTAATGCTGCAGCATCAGTGATCACTGGGCCTTTACATTGGAGCAACTTGCTTCAGCGTAGCACATTCATTACTATTGGAAAGACATTACCAACTTTTCACCTTTTGTAAAGTTACTGAGAAACCATGATCCATGCCGCCATATCTTTGCGGTTGGCCCTGAAATCCCTAAAACTACTGCCCCCCCTACATGCTTTAATTTACACAGTACCCCAGAGACAGTCTTGTGTTGTGTGATAAAGCAGGGATCACACAAACGCAGGCCATCTCTGCTTTGTAAAGAAGATAAATCAATGTGTCATAGAGCAGTCAGACGGAAGCTGCAGGATATGTGAGGTGTGAGAACATTATTGACATATCATTAATTTTTCAACTGACATTTGTGTGTGTGCGTGTGACCGAGACAGAGCAAGAGAGTGCACAGATAGCTGGAAAGACGCAGGCACAAGCACAGACGAAGTGGACTTAAAAGCAAAGTTTAAAAACAGAAATGTTATCTGTTAAATTATGGTTTTCTATCCAGGTTTTGACAATGTGGCCCAACGTGATCATTCCATCATGGAGTTTTCGGACACAGTTGCATCGGACAATGAAGATTTTTTGTATTCTAAAATGTCTGGAAATACGGAGGACCTTTTGCTTTATGACTGTTCCACCCATACGGTTTCTAGGCTGACCTGAATCATCTGCCCTGTAGCTGGGAAGTGAGCATCTGTTTAATGTGAAAACGTGATTTTTGTTAGTATTTACAAATCATAATTTCAAAACCGCTTAATGTCCTGCTGGTTCCATCTGAGTAAGCATTTGCTATCATTGTGGGGAACTAAACTGGAATCATGATGCGATAAGAGAAGTGAGAACACCATCTGATTGAAACACTGACTTTCTGTGGCTCATCATTAATATGGTGACAGTCTCTACTACGGATTGATTGGCTACAATATGGTCACATGCTCAGTTGCTACACTGATACACAGCTGATTTCACTTTGCTGTGAAAGCTGTTATATGTCCTGGAATTTCAGTTTCTTGCCCGTTTAAAGGAACAGTTGAACATTTTGGAAAATGTGTTTGTATTGTTAGGGTTTCGGAAAGCTCTCGAGGGAGGCCTCAATCCTTTGTTCTCGTCCCGGCCGGAAACGAGGACACGAATGAGTCAATTCGTTTAAATTCAAAAATCAAAAAGTATTTAATAACTAAACAACGTTATAAGGAATGCAATTACAAAGTGAAATACTAAGCGAACAGTGGAATATTTCGCGAAATAGAGAATCCTCTGAGCAAGTCTAAAGTGACTTTTCAAGGCGGCTGCAGGTCAGATTCTAACAGTCTTTTTCCCCGCCATGGTCCTTTGAAACCTCTTGAGGTGTGTCTTCCTTGGTGCATTTGAATGTCATTGGCTTCTTCTTCAGAGTGTCCCCTCCTGGACTGTCCCCTTCACGTCGAGGTGTGAAGCTGCAGCTGTAACCTGAAACCTCTCTGTCCTATCTGTCCCTCACACTCCAATGCACTCAATGTAGATTCAGTTGGCTTTATGCCCCAATGAGTGAATTTACCAAAGCATACATCGTTTAAGTCTTCATCTTATAACTAGTACACGTTAATGTGTACAGTGTTTATATGATTTAAATGACTATGAATTGTGTTTGATTGAAATTGCATTCACTTCATCTAACATGTTAATGTAATAACTAATATCTAACATCACACAACCTATAATTCTAACACTAAACATTATTACACGTACTATAATTTCCTGACAAGGGGTGCACTTCTGGCTTAAACAGTATTCACTAGAAAAATCCACATTTTACAAGGGAGGAAAAACATTAATCACAATTTTTCAACCTCATCTACACACTAATGAGTTGCAAATGCTAATGGTTGCAAAACACTGAATGTAAATGCAGCTTTTGTTAGTTTCCAAGAAACCTCACACAATACCTTTCACTGCAACAAAGACTGCAAATAGGGTGGAGGGCACAATTAGCCTAACTGTCCTGATGTAACAAAATTAATCTACCATACCCTTCACAGTTCACTGATTATAACGTTGTATCATTTTTTTCCAAATCTCCAACGGTTGCGTAACAGTGACGACACAGAAAGTAAATACGCACGTCCCGCAATCTTAAACTAAACCCGTTCAGTCTGTCTGACTTTCAAATGATGAAACCCTGCACACTTTGGTGCACATGCCTTACTCTCGGTCATCTGAAAAGATTAATCTATCCATATGTGCAGGAAACACAGAGGATCACTAATTCTTGGTTTATGAAAAACTATGTTCCCAATTGATGTAATTTATTGACTTTGACACTGAATGCAGATTGGCCATAAGGTTTAATCATAAAGTTGATAAATGATTGGGTTGTTCCATACACAGTATTCTTCAGTGAATAACAGCATATGGGCTCGTAGAAACAAGCTGTACGGACTCCCTGCAGGCTGCTCTGCTCCTCCAGAGTGAAATAAAAGTAAAACATGTGGGTCTGAAAAACATACAGATTCATCATCGGAAAGACAAACTGCTTTGTTCTCTGGCTCTCTGTATAGCGCCTTAGAGACATCTGATAAATATAGATTTTTGTTACTATGCCTGACATGTATTAATTGATGGTCAGATCGATTTACGAATAGGAGTTATGCCCCTGACTGACATCCGTCTCCAGTGTCCTGTGTGTCTAACCTATAAGCAGCTGATGACCACAAACCACACAGTGTGGGTCATGAACACTAAATGCTTATGCTGGAGATCCATCAATATTTGAATGAGAACCCTGGAGCTCACCGCTCACTTGATCAATAAATAGCTGACATGAAAGCTCTGTAGCTCATGAAATATTGAAGGTCTCTGCTCATTTTTAGATGTGGCTCAAAATGTCCCCTTCAAGTTGTCATACTATTTGTGATACTTTTGACCAAAAGTAGGCCGCAAAGATTGTGAATGTACAGGCAAAGGTGAATCAATCCGCTACAGCAGTGGCTGCCAAACTGGGGATCTTGGTGGGCCGACGGAAGGATCTGGGATCACCCTAAAAAAAAAGGAAAAAAGAAAAAGAGAAACCTTGAATTTAAAACTTGAAATAAATTTACTTGAAAATATGTTTACAAAATGTAATAGTGGGAAAGTAAAGTGATATTTAATTGTTTTATAAATAAAAACACATTTTCTTTTTTATAGTTCGTACATAGTTATTAATGGAAAGCCAAGGTAAATATGCAAAGTTCTATGTTGTTTGAATTTTAAGAGATGCATGTTTTGACTTGTGTTTTGAATGTACATTTCTTTGCGAGCTGTTGGCAAAGTTATTCATTTTTAGAGATGGGAGCCAAGTCTGAGTGAATGTCAAGGATCCTCACATAAATCCCTGATCTGATCTGATCTGCCCTAAAATGGATATTTATCTCAACCACCTGTCTGGTGGTTCCTTGAAATGAGCAATTCAAATACATAGTATATCACGTATATAGAGGGTATCATCGTCGACATAGAAGCGTAACGTATGTGTGTGACCGTGATGAATACCGCAGAATGTAAGGTTGTGGAAACCCAGGGGTCCATACAACCAGCCCCTCTGTTCGGTTGCTCTGCTGTGTTCTGTGCTTTCTTTCTGCGGAGCTGCAGACGTGAATGGGCAGTAGTCAGTCATGGACACACCTGGACTCTGTGTGTCCCATGCATGACAGCCCTAGATGCATTTTACTGTCCTCCATTTCTGGCTTTCGGTTGCTTACTTTTGTTTTTATAGCTCCACACCCACAGATCCAAGCCCTGCCCTCGCTCCTTTATGGGTCGCTCCGGCGATAACGGCTGTATTGCCACCGTGTCTTCCATTTGTGTTGCAGGTTTAGAGCCGGGCAGTGACTCCATTTCAATCAGCTTATGATGGTTCAGGTAAATACCAAACACTAGTTGTCTTTCATTTATTTTAAGAAAAATATGTAGTTTGAAATCCACTTATTGAATTTAATCAACCACTCACGTAACAACAATAAAATTGAAATGTGCCCTGGCAGTTTCAAACCTAGTCAAGTTTACCTATTTAACGTATTTAAAAATGGAAAGTACCCCACCAGGTGTTGGAAAGCTGTTATTACAGTCATAGAATCCAGAAGCTTTGCTATGAACAAAACTTTTTTTTAAATAGTTTTTCTACGTACTTATATCACATAATGGGTTTGCTGAGTTGAATCTAGTATACATTTATTTATAATTGCATGCACATCAGCAGGATTTAGAGTTGTAATTGCAATCACTTATTGTGAAAAAGAGATGTTGGCTCAAATAGGCTTTTGTCACCACAGGCCTTTTTTTCTTGTCACATTAGGGAAGGCAAAAATTGCTAATATCAACAATGTGTACGTGTCCAAGGAACCGGGACAGTCAGCCAGCATCCATTCAAATTTTTGTTTTTACACCTTTGCCTGTCCCTAATGTGAAAAGGGAAACTTTCCCTAAATTATTTTTTAGGTGATGATCAGATAAAAGTGCTGTGTCTGGAATGCATATATATAGATGCTTTGTTACTGTTATGAGTAACACCTGCTTTCCCTTAGACGACAAAACAGAGTAACATTTGGATGCAGGGACCTGCTCACGCAGAGGCTGGAGGTTGACCTCCATAAAACATGCCATGTTAGATTCTCAAAGCTAGCCCTTAGAATACAAGACAATTCCATTGGATAACTCAATTGCTACTTTATTAAAAAGTAACATTCAATACGCAATGATAAAATGCCTGTACATTAGTTTGTGTGCGCCGGGGGAGCAAAGGTCTCCCAGAGAAGACTGAGTGAAGGGCTGCTGGTCAGCTGTGAGGAGTTCTCATGCTGTGTTCATCGAGAATGGAGGGGTCACCTCATCAACGAGTGTCTGACCCGCTCTGAAGGTTTCAGACTTTATGTAGTTCATCTTCTTGCAGACAGATTCAGATGCAAATTGTTATTCATATTTTGATTGTTAAGGTCATGTTAAAGACTGCAACACACAGGGACAAATTCAGCAAAAAAAACTCTCAAACCCAGAGTTTTATGATAGTTGTTTCAGGTCAGACATTCTGGTATGCCCTCATGCCATGAATGCAGCATTAGTCCTGAGAGGAGGAAGGTGACTGTAGGGTCACCTACACTGTTTGGGGAGTCTGTCCAAGATGGGCAAAGGAACTACCCTGTCCCATTTCACAATAATCAAACCATGACCTGTAAAACCAACCGAGGCCACTCCAAAATAACCTCACACGTGGATGACAGTTGTGATGGCACAAAGGTGTGCATAAATATAGACTGAGACTCCTGTAGAACCGCTGACAGATTCATGTAATACTGTAGGGCCCTATTATGGAGGGAGGAATGCTGCACCGGTTCATACAGATGCCATTGTGCATTCATACAGAAGTCATTCAAAAATAAACACAATATTTGAAAATGGCATTTGACAGAATATTGCGTTACTTCACACAATAGTGGAGCAGTCTCACAACAGATTCAACCATATTTCAATGGACAACATGAAGCACCGTCTATATGAGATGGCAGTATTTAGCTCTGCAACAATGTAACAGCAATCAGAAGAAAAATCAAGTTAAAATAAAGACTAAGATGGAGGTGAGTGCTGGGTGAAACTTGTAAGTCAGTCCAGCTTTGCAGTTTTTGGGCTCATATCAGTGGCTTTTCACTCGCCAAAATGTTGTATCATTGTTTAATTGCTTCATTAAAAAAAATTCAAAATGACTACTGGCAAAGTTACCGGCAAATGACACACAGTCCAACGATTCTCTAGCTAAATGAGAAAATGGAGATCACTTCATGCGCCGACTCTTAATCGTAAAATAACGATTCAAAGATAAATGTCAAGTATGCAGATATAATTCTCAAGAGTAAACTTATGGATATGAAGTGACAGGCTGATGATAAGCTAAGACCATGTTGAACAATATTGCATTTCTAAGTGTAGTTTCTCAGTTTCAGGGCATGTGTGGAAGACTTCGTCATGCTAATTATATGACTACGGAGAGACTAATAATTCAGAAAAGCTAGCTAATAACTCATTGTGTCTTAAGAGATGTAATACTCAGTGACAGGTGACATACTAAACTGGCTAATACAAATTCTATTAAGGGACTATGGCATGGAGCAGTGTTAGGTTAGATAAGAAATTTTCTCCATGAGTTTCAGAAACCCTCGTTTTTTGGACAGTAAGAAACAAAAGCAGTGTTTTAATGGCAGCAATTTGAGCTTTTTGTAGAAAATATCCCTCATCAATATGATTAACAAACAGGATCGTTTAACAACACACTTGGATCATTGCCCTGCGAAATATGTCCCCTCCCGGCTATGGGTCTGGAGATGCCTTTTGATTTTGTCAGAACGGCTGAAGCATTTGCCACACACAGGGCAACTGTACGGCTTCTCCCCAGTATGGATCCTCATGTGCACTTTCAAGTGAGCCATCTGAGTGAAGCCTTTTCCACAAATCTGACAGCGAAATGGTTTTTCTCCTGTGTGGCTCCGCTGGTGCTCCTGGAGTCTGCCAGAGGAGCTGCAGCATTTCCCGCATACTCCACAGCGATAAGGTTTTTCTCGAGTGTGCACTTGTACATGTACGTGCAGGTGGCCAACATGACTGAACGCCTCACCACAGACCTTGCAGGAAAAGGAAGACATGTGGCCTTGTAAGGGAGATTTTTGATGGGGGCAGTCCACGGCATTGGCTCCTTGGTTGCGCATGTGAGAGGCCTGTCCTCTGTTGGCTCCACTTCCATTGCCCTTAACACCAACCATCTGTCCTCCATTCTCCACCCCGATAATGTCAATGTTGTTCTCATTTGAGCAGTTTGGGTTGACTGGTGCGAGTGGCTGGGCGCCGCTGTTGGAAGAAGTGGAACCCCTATGGCCTCCACTCTCCACCTTCACATGCCTCGAGGAGCCTCGGAATGCAGGATCCCTCTCCCTGTTCTCCACACCTTGACTCTGCGGGAGGTTGGCTGTATGGGGGCCATCTTGCGGATACTCATTAACAACGCGTGGGGGGGTGAACAAGTTCTCTGGTGTGCTGCAAGAACCATGGCCACGGAGCTGATCATCTCCTTGGTTGGCCCGGAGATCTCTTTTATCCTTAATCTGAATAGGGATGCGTTCTTCATGCCCCATGCTGGGACTCCACTCACGCCGTGGGTGCTCGCCATCCTCTTCGTCCAACAGTGTCATGGAAGGACGATCTGTGAACACAACATGAGAAGAGATCAGATGAAAATACATCAACTTCATTGCTAAACATAACAGTGTACCTTGCAATGCTAGTTGAACTACACGACCAACTACTGATTGTTTATATCTCCAGGGAAAGGTGAACTAGCTTGCTGCTTCAGGATTTTTTCTATAGAGGAGACCATTTACAGAAGAGACCTTGAAGAGCCACATGGTGTTATTTGGTAAAACACCCCTTTACCAGACTTTTTCAAACCTAAAATGCAGATAGCGGAACTCACCATCTTGTCAGAAAACTTATAGCCATTTAGAAACAAATAAATACATCTAAAAGGATAATGCCTTGAGCAATATACTAATTTAATGTGTATAAATAAGCTTCAAAACATTCCGGGCAAAGCAGCATGATTATGTATAATGGACAATAATACATTATGTGGAGGCTAACGAAAGTATTCACGCCCTGTTTTTTGTTATAACGTAATACATATCTACACATGTATTCTAATTAAGAGGGCAATACTTATCGTGTCCGTAATATTATAATGGCAGCTTTAGCAATATTTACAGCAGTTTCAAACATAGGTCTACTCGTGAGGGAAGGGAGTTTTAAAATTGGAGTAAACAAACACTTTGACACGACAGGAACTTCGTGTGAAACCGTTTGGAGTTCATGTGTATCTATCCTGTCCAGTTAAATACCTTGTAACTTGATAGATTACTTACTATCAAGAGGGCACACTATTTTGCAGACATAACGGTAGCTATATGCTAACCGCGGGTTTAGGCTAGCCGGCTAAACTAGCTGGTGGGCTAACGAACAAAGGTTGCTAACGCGCTAGCCGCTACAACAACAGCAGCAGCTAAAGTCAACTAGCTCGCGAGCGGCTGAAGTTAACTGTTTGGAAGTGAGGGGACATTGCTCTGATAGTTTGTGTTGTGTTGTTTCATTATTTTTGCACGCAGTGCTTTTCCATTTCACTACGTACTGCCCCCTCAAAGAGTTGGCGGATAGGGCGTAAAGGGGCGCAACTCCACCGTTAGCTTTCAGCATCGCTAACCTGGCCATATCTCAATTCCAGCGTCTCGCAGCCTGCGTCTCAAATGGTCGTTCTCCCGCTCCCTGATCGCTATCTCCTCCTGGTACTCCAAAATCGTGTCCTCGACGGATTTGTAGATCTCCTGCGCAGCAAGCATGAGACGCTCAGTCAAAAAAACGTTTAAAAACTGCAGTTTGGTCATTTTCGTGGGTTGCAGAGTGCTCTTGCTATCATCCAAAATGGACCAAAAGATGCTAGACCCCGTCACGTGACCAAGTTATGTATTCCTCCTTCCACATTGTTCCCCGAGAGTTTGTGAGGCACAACTTATTAAAAACAATCTTACACCTTTTTAGATAAAGCAACTGTATACATCTCATACATTTTACGTACGTAACTTAAAAAGTAAACTCCTCCATCGTTGTCCAAGTCGAAAAGTAGATTCATGTAATAGTCACCACACGTATAACATACTGTTCCAGTTCTTGTTGATTAAATATCTTGTTAAATAGTTTAGCAGTTATAAGTGCTATGTTTCTCTATTTGACATCATAAATAATTATCATAAAGTCATTATTTTATTAAAATTACTTTAAAACGTTGAGTTTATCTATAACCAATTTGTTATTTAATAATAAAATATCCCGGCGTTTTGTTTTGCATTGTATATTATATAAATCATTTTCTGGCCCATTGCTTTTTCCCTTTCCGTCTGATGATGTCTTGAGTATTCCCAGTCGTATAACTAGTAGAACAATAACTCACTCACACACTCCAGCCCGGCAGGAGGCGACACATACGTCCAAAGGACAAACAAAAAGCGCCAACAAAGGGGGAAATGACGCACCGTCAAAGTCGTGCACCGCTCCACGTGTGAGAAGAGCTTCGTCATATCGATCCGCTGTTCCACGATGAAGCGACCAAGTAAGTCAGCACTGACGTGACCTCTCGAAACCACATTTCTGACTTTATTGTCCACTTAATGCATCGAGCGAATACACGCCCTGTGTCGATCAAGAACAGTCTGCAATATATCGTTTTTTGGCTAATAACGTTATATTGTTCAAACCACGTTAAACTGTTTTATATTTTATCCTCAGAGTTAAAGAAAGCAAGTAAGCGTGTCTCGTGCTCCAAACGCTATAAAATACAGAAAAAGGCAAGTGTCCCTCCACGTTTCACTCATCACCGTTTCTTTAAAAATCAACGTGATCAGCTTATTGCGCACGAGGCCTGCGATGTACTGCTAACGTTGCTAATGTAACATTCGTGTCGACTCGTGTCGATTTTAATGTCAGAGTATTTATTTGCGTGTGTGTTTTAGGTTCGGGAACATGTCCGAAAGTTAAGAAAAGAGGCAAATAAGAAAGGAGTGCGCAAACGGCCGAAGAAGGACCTCGGCGTACCCAGCAGCGCTCCCTTCAAAGAAGAGGTGCTCCGCGAGGCGGAGCTCAGGAGGCTGCAGGTTGGCTCCATGTGGTGGTGTAATGAAGCACTTTCACACCGAACCCGTCATCTCCGCCTGAAGATAACGTGACGGGGTTTCCAGAGAGTCCATGTGCTGTGAATAATTCATTTTTCTTTCTTTCTGTCACAGATTGATGAAGAAACGGAGAAAAAGAAACAAGCCAAAAAAGAGGCACGAGCCAAGAAAAAGGAGATGTTAAGTAAAGCAACAGAACCCAAGGCCAAGAAGACCCGCCAGGTAAAAGGCCAACCCCCCCAAAGCAACGCTTTATCATTGTATTACAATGCTGTTTATTGACTTTTGTTTTCATAGGATGTGGTTGAAAACCAGGCAGAGAATCTTCCTGTCCCAGACAAGAGCTCAAAACCATACCTTTGCTCTGAATTAAATAAGGTAGAACTTCCCAGTCCAAATCAAGTGTTTTACAGCATGCAAGGAATGTATTTAGCCTGATCTCCCCTTACTCTTTTTCAGGTAATTGATGCCTCTGATGTATTAATAGAAGTCCTCGATGCTCGTGATCCACTGGGGTGCAGGTGTCCACAGCTGGAGGAAGCTGTGCTGCAGAGGGAAGGCAGTAAAAAGCTGCTTTTCGTTTTGAACAAAATAGGTAACATTGGCACTTTAACTAATGTTTAAAAACATGCCACAATGAGTAGATTTGAATGGGAAAAAAGGTCCAGTCTGGATTCAATGTTACATATTCTGCGTTGTAGATCTGGTACCGCAGGAAAATGTGGAGAAGTGGATACAGTGCTTACAGCTGGAGTATCCAGTTGTGGCGTTCAAAGCGTCAACACAGATAAAGGACAAAACGGTGGTAGGTAGTGCATTGGACACATTGGTGGTCAAACCAAAATCTAATGTTATAATATGGAGGACTGAGAAGGTTGAGCAGCTTGTGCTGTTATAACTGGTTATAACCTCCAAGAGTAACCCACAAACCACTCAATAAAGGGGCTCTGTCACAAGCAGAGCTCGTCTGTAGTGTTTGTTAACAAAGCAAAAATATTTTTCAGAAACAGACTTTCCACATTTGTGAACTTGTCTGGTTAACTTCTCTAACAGCAAGCAAGAAAGAGAAGGATTGTGGCCTCCAATGAAGTCCTGGACCGATCCAGAGCAGCAGCCTGTTTTGGAAATGGTTGTCTCACTGAGCTCCTTACAAGTTTTGCTGCTAACAAAGCGACTGAAGCGTCACTCAAAGTGGGCGTAGTTGGTGAGCATTAAAGCTTTATTCACAAAACTGAATTTTGTTTGAAATTTTATCTTGTTCTTTAAAATGAAGTGCTTCATCTGAATGCTTCCCTTTTTTTCCCCCTCAGGTTTTCCTAATGTGGGGAAAAGTAGTCTCATCAACAGTATGAAGGGAACCCTTGAGTGCAATGTCGGCGTCAGGAGAGGCATCACAAAGTGAGTGGTGAATAAGCATGAAAACCAAATTGTAGACTTTTATCGGTGCATATTAATGTGCTTTTTTAAAAGTCAGATCGCAATAGTCAAATGTTACCATTTACCACCCCTCAGATCCATGCAGGAGGTGCACATCTTAAAGAGCGTGACGCTAATCGACAGCCCAGGAGTCGTGGCGTCGCCATCGAACGCACCAGCCTCCTTGGCTCTGAGGAGCCTGCAGGTGGAGCAGGGCCAAGAGACTGTGCTGGAGGCAGTTAGAACTCTGCTCAAACAGTGTGACCACAGCCAGGTAACGGGAGTTCCCATCGCACCAGAGGATTGTGAAGTTTGGATAGTTTTATTTTTTCCATGTAAATTTGAAGTGATTTTTTAACAAATTCCAGGTTGTCTGGTCTCATGGTTTCAGATCATACTGCAGTATAATGTCCCAGACTTCAGAAACTCTCTGGAGTTTTTGATGTTTTTTGCCAAAAAGCGTGGATATCTGCAGAAGGGTGGAGTCCCTAACACGGTGCAGGCCGCCACAGCTTTCCTAGCTGACTTGACAGGGTGAGGGTTTTCATGGAGATAAAGGGGTGGCAGCATGTGTGGAAATGAGGACAAAACACAAGTCTAGATCTATTAATGAAGACTTCTAATCCAACGCTGATCACAACACTATGCCAATATAGCCACATTATTTATATTAATCAACAAAGTCATGCTTTCATATTCATTGATTTCACAAAATACTGTGTCCCATCAGAGCGAAGATAAGTTACCACTGTAAGGTACCGGAGAACCCCAGGCTCCCTGCCTACATGTCTGATGCTGTTGTCACAGAAATGCAGAACGGCTGGGATCTAAACATTTTGAAGACTGGCAACGAGGAAACTCTAAAAGGTAATGTTGGCTGTTTAATTTGTTTCCTGTGATAATTTGATTCCTACAGTAAACTTATCTTTTAAAACTGCACTGGACCGTCCGCTGCCTATGGTTTTCCTTTGCATAAGAGCAACATTGCCTCTTGGAGACCCTAATGGCCCTTTTTTAGACTCAATGTTAAACAATGTTTGCTTTTCAGGTGTTAAATTCCCAAGCCAAGCCTGCAGTATAGGCTTCATCTCTAAAGGCCCAACAGCAGGTCTGCTGAATGTCATCAATTCACCTGAAGAAAAACCTGGTGCTACAGAAAGAGTAGTAGAGCAGAATCAGAAGGTAATAGTTTTTGTTCAACCAGATTCAAATAATGTAGTCTGGTCGAAGGGAAATGAGGACAAAAAAAATCAAGTCTCGATTTCTAAATGAAGACTTCTAATCCAACTCTGATCCTGCTGGCTGTGCCCTTTTTCCTTCAAATTTTGGCATCTTACAGACGATTGAATAGTTAAACATCTTCTCTTGCAGCCTGTACAAAGCACTGGGGAGGCGATTAACACCGAAGAACCAGAAAAGGCACAGAGTAAGTTTGGTTTAAAAAAATATATACATCATTCTGTATAACCTCATTCTCTAGGCTTATTTTTTTTTACACCTACTTGTCTTTCAGAACCACCAGCCCGTGTGCCCTTCCAGGCTGTCCCCATTGACATGGGTCTCTCTGCCGATGACGCCTATGACTTCAACACAGATTTCAATTGAGCTCTGCTTTCTTTGTCTGGAGAACACTCAGACCTGGGTGTGTCAGCCTTTGGGCAGCTCGTGATGGGAAGTTGATTTTCAGAATCAGTTTAAAGGGCGTTGTATGGTGTCATGGTAGTCGTTGGCATTTGTGCCCTGCCTTTAAACTTTGAATCTGAAAGACAATGGGACAGTTTCCTGACAAGGACCGACCTTTTATCCATAACATTTTTCAGTTAACTTGATTGAAAGGTTTACAGTAGATTTTGTTCTTGCCCAGACAATGAACATCATGTAAATCTCCAGCAACTTCTTATTCCAGATGTTGTTGAATAATCGCCAGTTTGAAATGTCAAGGTAATTTGTAATTTTATGTACTGTGTATATATAGATGTACTATACATGTAATAAACCCTCTACGCCGCCATACTGTGTTAATTCTAGATCTTTTCCAAAACGAAGTTACACGCCAGCAGTCTCATGCTCTTCAAACCTAAACTGCATTTTCTTTGCAGGTTGCCGCTAAATATTTTACACCCAAAGCGGAAGTCTGGAGAAATCTTCGTTTTTATTTGATATGCAATAGAAAGTTCTGAATGTATAAAATCCTGACTGAAGGGCTATAAAGCATGAGAACAATGTACAAACATGACTTTCTGCAGAGATGTCAGTTGGCTTGAAAGAAATCAAAGTTCAGCATGAGGTAGTACAGCACTGTAGTGTTGGTTTACGGCAATTATAGACCAGTGAACATTAAGAATTTACCATTACTAGCTTGCCGAATGTCATTCCAGGAGGAAAAAATCATTCATCTATATGTACAATTGCGTTAAATAGACAACTGTAAAACATGTGTAATCAAGTAAAACCACAGGAATTAATGAAAGTACCTTTGTGGCTAATATTGGACTATATCATTATACTCATCAGCCACTTTATTAGGTACACCATGGTAGTAAAAGGTTTTGCCTTCAGTTAATTCTTTGTGGCATTCCTTCATAAGGGTGTTGGAAACATTCACAAGATTTTGGTCCATACTGACATAGGATCATGCAGTTGCTTCAGATCAGTCGGCTGCAAATTTGCTGTTTACCACAGCCCACAGTGGATTGAGATCTGGTGCTCGCGGAGGCCATTGGAGTACAGCGAACTCAGTCATTCACAAACTGTTCGAGACGATACGAGCTTTATGACATGGTGCATTATTCTATCTTGTGGATCCAAACTGACCCTACCATCTGAATATCACAGCACATTTTCCCCAAACTTCTATTGTCCAATTTCTTCAAAGGTTCAGATCAAGTGTTGTGCATTCAGGGATGCAAGTGGTTATTTGAGGTACTGTTGCCTTTATAAGGAGATCGACCTACAAAATAGCATGAGATCGGGAACTTGCGTTACACTATAATTTCAAATTAGTCTGCCCATTCTTATCTGACCTCAAATCAGTGGGGCATTTTTATTCACACAACTGCCGCTCACTGGATATTTTTTTTGAACCCTTCTCTGTAAACCCTAGTGATGTTATGAGGAGAAAATCACAGTAGATCAGCAGTTTGTGACACTCAAGACTAGTGGGTCTGGCACCAAAAACCATGCCACTATCAGTCACTTACATCCCCATTCTGATGCTCGATTTAAACTTCAAGTTGTCTTGACCACGTCTACACGCCATGTGATTGGCAATTCGTGTTAACAAGCATTTGAGCATGTGTCCCTAATAAAGTGGCCGGTGAGTACGTATATCATTACAGCTAAGGTAACTAATGTCCTCCAGTATGCAAAATAAGTGAATTATGTACTGTCACGTGGTACCTAATTTATGTGGACTAGGATTCATGTATACATGAGAATACTCTTCAAATGAGAGTCTTACTGTTCAGGATGACGAAATGAGGCACTCTGCTCTAAACAGGTCATTGAGAAGTGTGGGTGAAATACTAATGTGCTGGTTATAGAATTAAGGTTTGTTCAAGGGAATGAGAGTACACGAGTATACAAATATATATGATTTCAGAACTTGCAGGTGAAAAGGCTTTACTTACATCCTGAGATTTCGCGAGGCGTGGTCTTGCCGGGACAAGGTCAAAGTGAAGCCCCTTGAAAAGTTGCTGAAACCTGTTTTTCAGTCTAGTGGTCCCCTGGGCTTTTTCGCACAGGGTTAAATTTTCCCACGGGATCTGCAATGAACCACTTGTCCCACACATTAGAAAAGGAGGATGTTCTCCCCCAGGGTTTGTAGTGTCCATTCCAATGGAGGAGTTTTGCAGCTTTCACAAACTGCGGGGAGTAGCGCTTTCCAGCACCCGTCGTGCCTGAAAAAAAAAAAGGCACGAGTATTGATCATACTGTTGAGTCAATATTAAAATATTCTAACCTGAAAACTTGCATCCTTTACATAAAATTAATTTAAAATGCAATTAAACAGGCTAGATGCTTATAAAACAGGAAATTGCTTTAAAAAAACCCTGGAAAAGTCTAAAAAAATGTGTAATATATATTTAGCAAGGTACATTAATTCCCAATTATGCGTCAATATATTGGACAATTTCCTTTAAAACGCAATAAAAGCTTCTAAAAAAATAATGTTATACATGTATGGCCATTAATGAGGATACCATGGTATGTGGAAGCATCACTTTCATGGTAACAAAAATCAGTGCTATCCGTATCTAAAAATAAAATGTGTTTTTGTTTCCCTTTAATCACCACTTGCCAAGATGCCTGACGTGCCACATCGGATCAATGGCGGAGTGGCGTTTGTAGAAAACAATGAGGAGTGGAGGGGTGATGATACTCTCTGCTAGTGTCTTGCTGTATAGATCCTCCCTGAAGGAAAACAACAAATTCTGGTTACCTCCAACAAAAGATTCCCCTCGCCTCATATTAACGTTCTTTGAAGATGACCTACCGTGAGTTAAGTTCCATCCAGTGCTCCAGCTGCAGGGTTATGTTCTGGTTCCTCCACTCTGTCAGGTTGGCGATTATGACCCCAGGGTTGAAGGAACACGTGTTGGCCTTCATCCCCAGCTGCTTGATTGCATCCTTTTTGAAGTCCAGGAAACCTAAATAGTTGTTCTATTGAAGAATGGATGCATTATTTATTCAAATATCACCTTATTTGCATGAAAACATTCCACCTCATGAATATTTTCCATAACTCATGGAAGAGATGGCGCACCGGATTCCCGGCACCTCGAATGATGCCCTTAACAGATGCGGAATCACAGTCGTCAGAAAAGGCTGCTGCGTGTCCTGGTTTGAGGTTAGTTTCATAAAGCTCCTGAATGTTCCCTGTGAACAGAACAGAACAGGCGAAGTCCATTCGGGAAATCCCCTTCCAGAGAACCTATTCTCTTACAATTAGTTTATGCGTTTTCTTTATGGTGGTGACTTACCTTGTACAATAACATCGTCATCCAAATAAATAGCTTTCTCTGCTTTGGGTAGGTATACAGGTAGGTAAAACCTGGCAAAAGTCAGCTGAAAAAAAGACCATTATTTAGCCAGAGACCAACATTTGTAAACAGAAACATGAATATTTCAAAAATCACTGTGATTAATTTTTTTTTTGTCTCACAGGTTGGGCATCTTGCAGCATTGGGGAATCTTTGGACATCTTCCCACTGAGGAGCTCAGGTTTGAAGATAACGATATTATATTTGATATTGTTTAGCTGTGTCTTACTAAGCCACACACTGTTGGTATAAACAAGAAGATGAGGTTATGTCTGACAACTGTTACTTTAATTTGCATGAGGAGAAAAAGAAGCTCCATTGTCTTGTCATTACTTGAGGTGCTCCACCGTGTCATTCAGGGTCACTATGGTGAAGACAACATTGGCTTTGCTGTTCTGATAGACGCTGTTCATGGCAGCAACCACAGCTCCAAGTCTTTCTTCGACAGCAGTGATGAGGACAGAGATCTCCTCTCCTTTCCTCACAGACTCCAGCCCGAGATCCGGAGACAACTCGGATTCAAAGGGAAGACTCTTCCCAGCAACTGAATGAGGAAATATATAGGATTTAACAAATTATATCGTGTTTCATTTTGATACAGTGAATTTGGTGTGATGGGATAAAAGCAACAAAAAAACCATATATTCTGAGAAGCAGGTACAGAAGATAAGGAGAAACATACCTGGGTTTTCCATGTGTAAAATGTCACTGAGGTTGAGGAGATTTCGTTGAACTATGATCAGAAAGGCAACAGCCAGCAGCAAAATAATGACCACGTTTACTGGAAGAAACAGTACAGAGATTATCTTAATTATAGCTGGATGACACAGGGCAACGTTGTCTGAACTGTGACAGATTTGCTGAAGAGGGTTGTTGAGTGTCTCTACGGTGGCTCTGAAGTGCAAAACACAACGACAAATAAGAAAGCACAACGGCAAATAGGAAAACACAACGACATTAACTTCTTACGGAAAGGGTAGGGCCTTATAGCAGAGGACGGACCCTTCTGATTGGACAGACGGACTGTCTGTCTTTTAACCCTCTTAATCCGAAGCCTTTCGTGAGCGACGGAAAGTGACATGGAGGATTCAAAAACGTGACTCCCTAACTATTTGCACAATTGGATTATGAAAGCTGAGAAATGCCGCTATCTAGATATTATATAGGGTGACCAGATTTGAGTTTGTGAAAAAGGGGACACTTCGTCGCCAGATTGGAAATGGTGAAGTATCGTACCAAAGGCTCAAAATGGTCGTATTTGTAGGATAATTATCGTGTATCTGGCAACATTGAGATCGGTCGACCAATGACTATTCTCTCTACAGTCAGAGGACATGTCCGGGGAAAAGAGTACGTCTGGTCACCCTATGTTATGGCAATCAAGAAATCAGTGGCGGGAGAGCCTGTGATGAGGGGTAGAAGTGAGCGCAGCAGGAGAGCCGCTGCAGAAAGTTACGGAGAGATGGCTGTTTTACGAGAGTCTTAAAAGTGTCCTACGAGTGTAGATCTGGTTTAAAGACAGTTCAAAGATTGAGAAAAGACGAATATCATGGCATTATTACTGATTTCATCTTTACTTTTCTCAAAATCTATACTGTAATATTTCATGGAAATGTACACAAGCATAGAGGAGGTCAACGTGAACTGGGATCAAGTGAAAGCAGAGTGTTACCAGTTTTGGATCTGGTTTAAAGACAGTTCAAATATTGAGAAAAGACGAATATCATGTCATTTTAACTGATTTCATCTTTACTTTTCTCAAAATCTATACAGTAATAGTTCATGGAAATGGTTTAAAGACAGTTCAAAGTTCAAAAACACTTTACAAATAGGCGATTAGCCTTTAAGGCTGTAAGCCCTTTTACCGTAACATCTTAAATAGAGGCACATTTCATTTTGAAATGCGGTCCACATGACCGCAGTCTTGAGAGCCCTGTATCATTTCGTGTTAAAATACAGAAAGTCCGTCTGTCCAATCAGAAGGGTCCGTCCTCTGCTATAAGGCCCTACCCTTTCCGTAAGAATTTAATTTTGTTGTGTTTTCCTATTTGCCGTTGTGCTTTGCACTTCAGAGCCACCGTATGTCTCCCAGTTTTAACTACTCTATTAAATTCTCATTGCACGATCTAGACAAGAGAACAGACATGCCTTCTAGAGACAAACTCACCTTTCCTCAGTGTCATGACACCGGCCTCACCAGTTCCTCCAGCACGTCTGATAAAACAACAAAACAACAAAAAATACGTCAAAAAAGTTGATCTGAGCGAAGACTAAAATGTAATGTAACGTTATCAGCTGGCTGGTTAGTGGGGAGCAAGATCAACCCGGATTGCGTGTACCATCAGCAAATTAGTTCAGATGCATAAATTAAAAATACATACGCCGCGGGTGAAATACTCTATTAAAAGGTGTCGGATAGGACAGGAATGGTAGTTTACGGTGAAGCCGTACTGCCAACTCAACATCAACAAGTTAAACGCTCTCCGCCAGCAAAAACGCACGTAACGTTAGCAATAGATGCCCATGCCGTTGCCTGTTTTAACGTCACGTCTGCTTGCTTTTTCCAGTACATACTAGATTGGATAATTTAGGATTAGGTATGTACATAAAATGTAATCCCCGCAGGTAAGTGTTAAACACGGCTAATGCTTTATATAGAATGATGGCTTGTAGACACTAAATACATTGACGCGCAGTCATTTACGCCAGAATAAACGTTGGGGTCCTTCACAACACGACGTATCTTTTGTTGAAACCGGAAATCAATCTGCTTTAGTAGCAAACCAACCTGCAAGCGTCTGAATAAACATTTCTTCGGATTTGCTAGTTCACTCTAAACAAGAAAGATGCTGTCCGTATTCAAGTCCATTCCCTCGCACATGGTAAGAGATTACTAGCGTGTGTGTTTGGTAGCTATTCAACGTTAGTTATGGCAGCTACTCATCTATGCTATCGGTAGCTAACCTGTGCAGTGGTTAACGTTACATCGGTAACAGCTGCTACTTTAGCGTGTCCTCCAAAGCTAGAAGTTAACCAACCGCACAATAATTGTAATCTATTAAGTTTTAACATCGAACACAATGTTAACCTGTTGTTGGTGGATTTGGTCGCATTTATGACTATAATTGTCAACGCAATAACGTCACCGTAATTTTGTTTTGGGGACGTTGACTTTAGCCGTTAAATTAATTTCGATTATTTTAACATTTAACCTGTTCCCAAGGTTATTGCAAAGGCTATTAAAGCTTGAGGGCGAAGGCCAAGTTTCACTAGGTATTTGCATTGCACAGCTGTACCCTCCGAACGCCGATTTTGTTAATTTTGCCAAAATAATGTTTCTTCCTTCTGTTGCAGGATTATAAAGGCCAGAAACTGGCTGAACAGATCTTCCAAGGAGTAATACTCATCTCAGCGGTAACTAACCATGCACTTGAAAAGCATCGCACTAGAACGTCAATGAGTTGTTACCTGTTTGTCAGGTTAACTGATAATTTTTCTGATCTCTTTCCAGGTGATTGGTTTCGTGTATGGTCTGGTCATTGAACAGTTTGGGTGGACGGTGTATATTGTCTTGGCTGGCTTTGTTGTGTCTTGTGTGGTGAGTTCGATTTTTTTTCTTTTTAGCATTTTGATGTTGTTTCGAGGGAATGATCGATAGATAGCCAAGTTGTACTCCCTTTCTTCTATTGTGCATGAGTCTGTTTACTGTCTTGGGCAACACCATAGTTGCCCTTGGCGTTTCTTGTCTTCTTGTTGTGCGCCATTTAATGTTATTATTGCAAGGCATTACCAGTCAACATGTTTTAATATCTCTTTTTCTGTCCGGTAATGTAGTTGACGCTGCCTCCATGGCCCATGTACAGAAAGAATCCTCTTTCCTGGCAGCCAATTATACCAGAGATCAACCCGGAGCCCACCCAAAAACCTCAGGAGACCCTCAAGAAGAAGAAACATAAATAACTCATTGGTCCCTGTCTGGCTGTTGTTAGATCATGATAATACATCCTTTTGCCACAGTTGGGAAATAAAAGTCAGTCTTTGATAATTACTTGTGTCCAAATAATAAACATCTGATATTCTGTTTTATAAATAGGATGTTTGATTTTTTTATTTAGAATTTTTTTGTAGGATTTATTGCATACGCTAGTGTACGAAGCAGTTTTATTGTCAATCTCAAGGAAACATTTTATTATCTTCATTATGGAAAAAGGTTGTGAACAAAACATTTGATTAATTACAAAATACGTCAATATCTACAATACATCTGCATCACATTATTGTTTAAGTGAATACAATACATCAGAAGTAATCTTGTGATTTATAAGGCAAGCTGGAAATGCTGTGTCTTTAAAGATACAAGTACCCACTAAAGAGTTTTAACATGACTCCAATCTTTGCATAGAAATCCTGAAAACTACAGTAAGAATACATTCTGTTCTCATTTACATAAGATTGTTTGCATAAGAGCAGCTGCTCTATGGCAGAGAAGCAATGTTTTTTTGACAGGAAACTAATTTTCATTCACAATAATGTCCTTTTGTCAAAGCATTTATTTATACTTAAACTGTCAAATTTCTTCCAGTTACCTTTGGAGATCTTTCACAATGCTTGCCTATTCTAACAATTTGTGTCATAGAAATGCAAACGCCTATGCAGAATTTTCACTAAACGTTGACGGAAATATCTTCAAAGAATTTCAGCTGCCTCACCATCACAGCGTAAGCTTGGTACTTCTCATCTCCCATCTGGTCACGAAGGCACAGCTGCAGGGAAAAGGAAGTCATGCAGGTTAATTGAGTTCTACAGAGGGTTTGAACGTCACTTCATTATATTGTGCATGGAAAATTAATTATAAAGTTTCATCTGGTTAGTATATAAAATTGCTTCTTATAATGTTATGCTAAGGAGTGCTTATTCCACTCATTCGGTGTAATGTGATTAACTTCTGTAAAAGCTTACTTCTCGTTTGGTGTCATCCTCCACCTCCATGATTTCCAAAACTCGGTCCAGCAGCTTGACCCCCAGACCCTTCACCACATCTGTCCTTAAGTGTTCTATGGCTCTCCTGATCTTGGCTGGACCAGAGGTGGAGCCTTTTTGAGAGTAAAGTTTGTTAAACACAAGAAGGCTCCAGAATGGTCAACTGATGATAATATTTTAAAGTATCTCACAGATTGGTGCTTCACGCAGTGACAAGTTCTCTGCTTCCCCTCGAGCCTTCCCATGAAGCACCAGGGTATCCCTATACTTTCTGTTCAGTTTAAACTCTGGTACAGCAGTAGAACCAAATCTGTCTTTGTCCACCTCGCCCACACAGTCTCCAATATCCATGTTCAACGTCTGGGTCATCATGTGGACTAAATCTTGTATATCTCTCGATTCAGTCTTCCTGCATAAACCATGGAATACACAGCATGTTTTCTCAAGAAAGAAAAAAGTAAATATGTCCGTACAGACTTTCCGAAGCTGATAGAAATATAAATCAGTACGGTGACTACATTCAGGTTGAGGTGTGTGTTATTCTCTCTGGTGTCGTTGTTCACCTTTCCTTGCAGTCTCCTTCTGAACGTTCTGTGGAACTTGTGGATGAGCTGCATTCATCTTCATCTGACCTTTGATCCGGCAATTTATCCTCCTTCAATGAAACACATCCCACTGTTGTGACCATCATTTTGAAACAGACATCATTTTAAAATTAACCATAAAATGATCAGATTAGACTTAAGGGGGCCCATCCAGCTTTTTTTGTCGACCATAAAGACTTTTATTAAGTGGCGTTTCCTTCGTATGTAGAATTGAGTGCTTCAGTGATGGGTTGTCAGTACCTTAGAGCTGGCCCCAGAGATGGATGCTGAAACAGATCTGGCAACCGAAGCATTGCAGTGCTCATCCTTGGTGGAAGAGACATCATAGGATGCCCTTCTTATAACACTAACACCTGTGGAAAGAGAAAAAAAGTAATCAAGAAAGGAAACAAACGTATGTTCTTCTTTTTATAGATTCAGGATTGTGTTATGTAATGAAATATTAAATCTAAAACATTCCCATGTATGCTTGTTCCCCCACTGGGGTTAACTGTATGTCTATGTGAAGATGTGAAGATGTGAAAGCTTGGTGTATTCAAGCCTCCTATAGCTTTAAGCTGACCGTTGTTGGTTTTTGAGATGCTTCCAGTTATAGATTTCAGGCTTCGGTTAAGAAAAGATAGAAAGTACCTGGTTGGCTGGCAATCTCCACGGATTGCCTCAGTCTTCTCCTCTCTCTGGCAGACAGAGGACGATCCTGAAAATAAAATGGATCCATATTTTCTGTGATTAATAGGCTGTACCTGCTGTTTTCAGCTACAATAGGCACATATTTCAAAGTCATTAGCATATAAAAGAACTTGAGGAGAAACCATGTTTAATATTCATATAATATCTTTCCGTCCAAACTATGGCCTCAAATTTGCAATGACAGAACTAGATAACGGTTCTTACATGCTTCAGGCAGAATGGATATTCAGAAATATGGGGAGGCTGTGTACAGTTAGCAGGTGGATGAGCACACTTACCTGTGGCGGTGGTAGGAGCTCCTTAGAGGAGCTAACTGATGTGGAGGTTACAGCTGCACTGGCTTTCTTGCCCCCCGTGCCCTTCCTGCTCCTCTTCCTGCCGTCCATGGCTACGCTTTCAACCGGAGGGGGCGGTAAAGGTCTGGGAGCAGTCACCTTGGACTACAATAAAACATACAGAACGATAAAATAAATAAGAATAATTCAATCTACTGAAACTATTCATTGTTATATTTTAAGTCTTACTTTTGTAACGTTTGTTTTCAATAATAATTGAATAATTTTAACAGACATTTGCAACAATCATATCTTGACTTGAACTAACCCTAACCCTAAATTGTGAGTGTCCATACACAAATGCAATTGGAAAACAGGAGCCTTGACAATAGTTGAGCAAAAGGCAGAAGCACTTTCTAGAAGAGTAAAGCCTTCTTTCTCTCAGATTCCCCCTGTTAACCCATGAGGCACTCGCCTAAATGATAGATTGAAACATATAAATTAATGTATATTTCAATTAAGACCCCAACTTGCATTTCAAGGTCCAAAGTTGCATTAGCTAATGTATCTGTGTTCACCTTGTCTTGATCCCCCTGTGGCTGTCGGATGTCCCTCCCTCTGTGCTGCTGTGACATACATGGGGCTGATGAGAACGGAGGAGGTTGGTATGGAGTGTTTGGACCCTTAGTGGTCGGTGAGGGCAATTCCTCTCGAACAGGCTAGGAGCAGAAACAAATATACATATCAGCAAAAAACGTTGCACAATACACGCAAACCATTCCAGTGTGACACGGCCTGCGTACGGCCCTAATTTGGCCTCCAAT